TATAACGGACAAATTTGATAAAAAATTCAAAGTACCAAAGGGCAACTTTCCAAGGTCGGTCATTTCACACAAGCGACTTCCTATTTTACCAAACGGTTCTGTTTGTTTGTTTGTTTGTTTTTTTTTTATATAACTTTTGTCCTTCAAATGTACTTGCATCTTCAAAAATACCGCTTGAGTATATTACCAAAGAATCCAACTTAATTTTTTTTTCCGCCTTTTACTGACGGAAAAAAGAACTCAACTAGGTTATATAAGGGTCATCATGGAGGAAAGAAAATGCAGTTAGATGAATTGTTTATAGTATCGTATATCTTCTTCAATTTTTTTTTTAAAAAAATTGTACACATGGGGTTTCATAGAGATTTAAATATCTTTCAGTGATCAATTTACCTTTGACCAGTATGTTCACCTACTAAATCATATAAATTTTGAATAGCTATTTTTTGCAATTTTAGTAGAAAAAATGTGCTGCAGTAATTTAATTTATGTGAGATAATAATATGATTAAAAAATATATTCATAAATACGTAAAACCCCCTCCCCTGGCAAAAAAAAAAAGGAAAAGAAAAAGAAAAAATAAAACCAAGTGGTCAATTAGTGGAGGTGGAAGCATAAAGAAGAGAGAAGGGCAAGCATGTCCTTTGACACAAATTTCTGTCGGCCTGAGGCTAACCATGGTTGAGTAATTGAACCTCGAACCTCTGTCTAGTTTGGAGCTTGGACTAGTGGTGAGCGGTGACTGGTGAGAGCGTCGGTGACCCAGTGAAACGTTGGGAGTTCAACTCTGTGGCGACACACGGAAAGTGACGTCTTTAGAAAACTTTAACCCAAAAAAAAAAAAAAAGAGAAATGAAAAAGAGATACGCAGATAAATACAAAAAATATAGGCAGTAATGAAATGATAAATAGAGATGAGAGTGAGAGAAAGAGAGAGCGAGAGAGAGAGAGAGAAGAGAGTGAGATAGAAACGAAGGCAGGAGAGGATTGGTACATGAGCCATGGAAGCCGAATCCAATGCGTTTCCATTTTGAGATAGAGCAAGAATAAACGAAAAGGAGAAGGAAAAGCTTTGGAGAGCTGGGGCTGGGGTGTTGTGTGTTTCTAGAGAGAGAACGTGCATAAGGGAAGAGAACCGTCGGCGGCGAGAAGAATGGGGGACTCCAGCGGCGACTCCGTTTCCATTGATATGGAGGACGCCATGTCATTTGCCAGGAAGGTTGATTGCATTTTCCATCACCCACATTATCGTCTCGATTGTTTTCATCGCCTTGATTTTTATTTTTTACGCCCCCCCACCCCCCCAACTTCCTTTTTTTTTTTGGAAATGTTGCTTTCTACTACTGTTAATAATCTTCTTGAAGGTCAATCTCCTGAATGACTTTCTATTTCTCTTTTTTTCTTTCCTTTTTTTTTTCTGGGTGCCTCATGATTTAATGCACAATAATGATACTAGCCATTTTGGATTTATCAAATTGCTTTTATATTTTTAATGATGATTTTTGATGAGAAGAATTGGAGCTGTTTAAGCTGCATTTTCATCTGCGGTGCACTGGAATATAATCCAGTTTATCTTTCTTCCCAAATATGTTGTTTGCATTTTAGTTTCCATTTAAATGGGATTATTCTATCCGGCATTAATAGTAACTTTTGTTATTGCTGATTCCAAAGTTCTTGTGAATTTCCAAATATAGGAGTATTTTAACTTCTGCAGAATATACAGGCCGTTGGTCCTTTTTTTTTGTTTTTTTTTTCCTTTTTGGTTGGTGTAAATGACGAAGTATAGTACCATTACTACATAGATTTCAAATGTTTCTAACAACTTAGAAATTTTTCTAGTTCTTGTTGTTATGATCACGAGAAGGTGAAAGAGATCCCAGTTTGGTATTTCGTTTTTCTATTTATCACACCAACATATAACTAATCTTCCCGCCTATGTTTGTTATTATTGAAGTTTGAGTATGCGCAGAATAAACTATAGTCGCTGCGTGTACTCTTTTTATGTGGTAGTTTATTTCTAATAGCTTTGAAATTTGGATAGAAGCTAGCGTTAAGTTTTAAAAGCAAGAAAACATACAAAATTAATTACGTTAGCCAGTTAATTGGCATGAGCTAACTAATTACGAGATTACTTTTCAAGGGACAAATGGCACATGGGAAAACTTCATCTGGGAAGTAGATTGATACTTAGCGTGGCTTTGCATGATATATCCATTGTTCCTCTTTTCGAAGCAAAAGTATTGATGAAAATTCTTTTGTTTTTACTACCGGAAGCTTTGGTTTTTTTGTTGGGCTTGTTTGTTTTGTCTCATCAGTTCTTTTGGACTAAATCCAAGATATGTGCATCCAGGAGCACCTTGTCAAGACTGGCCGTGGTTGTGTCTCTGTTTCTGTGGTTGGAGATCCAGACAAGCCGGCTTTAATTACTTATCCTGATTTGGCTTTAAATTGTAAGGAAGCCTAATTGATTTTGTTTTTTCATGACAGTCGTTATCCATAAATTTGTCCATATTACTGGTAAATTATCTGTTGTCTAGCTGTGTAATCCAATTTGTCCAAGAGCCTTTTAATTTTTGCAGGGATTGTTTTACATTTTTGTACAAATAACTCTGACGGACTCAATCCTGATACGAGTTTTGTCTCGAAATTTATCCAAGAATTTTTTTATGCTTGAACCAAGATGGTTGCATGGTTGAATTCCCGAATAAAAGAAACATTTGCTTTGAAATGGTTGACTTGGGAGTTTTATAGTTGTTACTTGCTGGCTTCTTGTTCTTTACTTATAGCCTCTGGCTGGTTTAGAGACAATTAAATCATCCAACAGCTGCTAAGATTTAACCTTTTTTGTGTGTTTGCTTGTATAATTTTTGAACAGATATGTCCTGTTTCCAAGGATTGTTCTATTGTCAAGAAGCATCTTCCATGCTGTTCCATAACTTCTGTATTTACCATATCAGTCCTCCTGGTCATGAGGTCTGTGAACTGGGTGCTGTGTGTAACATATTGGTTATCCTTTATGAAAGACTTCTATTATTGCTTGTATCGTTGCTTATATTGTATATCTTTCAAGAACTATTTCAGTTGGGAGCTGTTGCGATAAACCCTGATGAGCCAGTGTTATCTGTTGATGATCTAGCTGATCAGATCGTTGATGTCCTTGACTATTTTGGGTAATATTTCTGTTGCATTTTCTTGCCTAATCTGCTCTTTTTGTATTCGTGACACTAGGTTAAGACATATGCATTTATGTACTTTGGAGCATATCACTTTTACTATGATTTGATGATTTACCATCTTGTCAAACACTTGACTAGAAAGCTGTTTCTGGGAAATAAGAAGCTTGCTGATATTCTTTTCCTTCTTTTTGTCATTTGTGTATCTTAACCCAGACTGGGCATTGTGATGTGTATGGGTGTAAGTGCTGGTGCTTATGTTCTCACTCTGTTTGCTGTAAGTTGGGCCAGACTATTTGTTCCTGCTTCCCTATTCAATGAAACAAGCTTGAGATCTGCTGTCCGGTGTCCTGACTAACTTGATGGTTTTGACTGTGCTGCAGATGAAATACACTAAAAGAGTTCTGGGTTTGATACTCGTTTCTCCTATATGCAAAGGTCCATCTTGGACAGAATGGTTGTGTAACAAGGTTCATTGATAAAATTGTTTAGTGCTCTTGTCTTCATCTATAATTGTTCATTCTGTATGGATTGATAACACAAGAAATTGCTCACCACTGACAGGTGATGTCAAATTTGCTTTACTTTTGTGGCATGTGTAGTGTGGTGAAGGAATTATTACTCATACGGTACTTTAGCAAGGTAAAGCTTCATTACTTTTTCATAATAAACCATCATAAATTGATTGGTTTGACTGGACTTGAAAATCATGCGCAGGGTGTCCGTGGCAGTGCTGAAGTACCTGAATCAGATGTAGTTCAATCATGTAGAAGAGTCAGTCACCCAAATTCTGCTCTTGTGCATTTCATTTTCAGTATGCTTGTCTACTACAGGAACCTCTAAAGTGATGGTTATTTGTCTTGAGTTTATCATTTGTCTGACTTTTATTGTGTGCTGGTTCTTATTGCAGTTTCTGGGAGAGAGACAGAGTCCAAATGTTTTGCGGTTTCTTGAGGCTATGAACGAGTAAATACTTTTGCTCTTAAGTTCTTTTAGAGTATGTCTTTACCGCTAGTATGTTAGCCTGGAGATTTGTTCCTGCTTCTTCATAGGAATGGACAGGAATCAAATCCTCTGCATACCCAAGCACCTTGCCTAGCTTATCTATCTCTATACACAGATAGATAGGTATACTGTATGGGTTTTTTTTTTTCCCTTGAGTTTTATCTTTGGGGTGTTTTCTGACGTGGTGAATCTGTACCCTTGTTTTAATTAATTGTGTCTTGCAGGAGACCAGATATTACTGATGGTTTGAGAAAGTTAAGATGCCGATCCTTAATATTTGTTGGAAAACTCTCCTTGCCATTCTGAGGCACTTCATATGACTTCAAAACTTGATAGAAGATTCAGTGCCTTAGTCGAGGTATTTATACGCTCTCTCATTAAACTCTGCTTTGGCTGCATTCCTGGTAACTAAGGTTGGATTACTGTACAGGTTCAAGCATGTGGGTCAATAGTCACTGAGGAGCAGCCAGATGCCATGGTGATACCATTGGAGTACTTCCTTATGGGGTATGGCTTTTATAGACAATCTCCATTCAACGTTAGCCCAAGAAGCCCTTTGAGTCCGACTAGCATCTCCCCAGAGCTCTTCTCACCAGAAAGTATGGGATTGAAGTTAAAACCAATAAAGACAAAGATTTCTGTAGAAGTATGAGAAGAATGAACACGCGAGGCATTTTTTGTTTCTTTGTATTTTTGTAGTTAAGGAGGTTTATCATGCCACTACTTCATTGAAAGGAACTATACCAGGAGAAGAGGAAAGTACAATAGGTCTGTAGATAAAATTAAAAGATAGAAAGCAAAGCAAAATTAGGATAGAAGAGATTGAAGGGGCGTTTTTTCTTTTATTATTTTTCCTCAAAACCTGTAAAATCACAAGTATTAGTCAGATGTATCTACGGTATCTGTAAATCCCTGAATAATTATTTGTCGAGACAGGGAAATGAAGATAATAAAAAGCGGGAGAAGTTCTCCTTCAATTTAAACAGTCTGCATCTCTTGTGCATCTCTTTTTGGCATGTATTTCCCTTGTTTCTCTTCCAATGCAGCATGCTTCTACCTTCTGCTATGCAAGAGATCTGTTACAGAGGCATCTGAAATTGAGATTACAATCAGCTCTATGATTTCCATTCAGGCATTTACTTGCACCATGACTGGGGACCTTACCATTATATCAGCAGCTAGCGCAATCAGCTTGCTTCCTGAGTGTAATTAATAGGCCAAGGGGGAATTTGAGTTTCTTTGGAAAATGAGGATGATGGAAGTGACAAAGACAATATGGTTGCAACTGATCTTTGGTACCAGTGAACAATTATGGATAGGAACAACATATTCAATCTGGTCTGGTGAGAGTTGAAAGGGTTCTGGGCAAACAAATACTGGCCCCATATAAATATTACTACCAAGCAGTTAGATATGCAAATCCTTGAAGTCAGAATGAGGGAATTAGTAAATGAGCAATAAGATTCAAGAAAGTGTCGGTAGGGGTGAGATGTCACCTTGTTCAGTTCAGTTGCTTTTCCTTGTCCAATAGGTAGGAGTTCATTGTCCATGACTGTGGTGAGTGAGAGAGTAAGGTGTGGCGATGTCTTTTGCTTGTCCCAGCATCACAATCACATACAATTTGCAGAAAGGGAAAGGGAAAGGAATAGTTTAATAAAAGGGAAAGATAATTATTATTATTTTTTGAGCCCATCCATAAAGGGAAAGTTGAAAACTGAAGTTTTTGAAGATATTTCTTCAATGTGTGTGTCGCTCCTCCTCATAATGGTTTCTGTATAGTGAATTAAACTCATTTTTAAAAAAATATTTTTCACAAGTCATTTGTTTGGATTTTATTGCGCCATGAGACGTGGAAGTAAATATATGAGTGGATGCAGTAGCCTTCGCATGCTTCTTGATTTCAAATGGCACATTTACATCAAAGTGAAGGAGAAATTTACAGAAGAAGGGAAGGCTGGTGGGCTCGCAGCATTTCTCATCTTTTGGCGTACTGCGGTGTATGATCTTTTCCAATCACCGGTGGTACGCAAGTACCATAGAATATTTTGCTTCGGAAGTTGAGCTTTTAACGAGTTGCATCTTAGGCCATGTCACGTCAATATTCTATGTCTCTTCTTTTATTACACTTTCACTCACAATGAATTACGCTTCACAAGATATAATAGCATGATCCATAATTAATTTTTTAATTAATGAACGGCCCACCAATTACTCATCTTTTGCACCAATTACTCCTCTTTTAATTTTTTGATAATGGGTGGCCTACCTCATTACACGATACATGCTGCAACTCCGTTGGAGTTGCCCTTAGTGTTCACCGTTCAGACTTACGGCTCGAATTCGATCGATGAGCTATTATGAACGTTATTCGAACTCAAACTCAAATTCGAGTATTTTTTGAATTCGAGCTCGACTTATTAAACTAGTTGAGCCGAGTTTTGGCACGAGCTCAAACTCAAATTTGTATTTGAAAATGATTTAATTATATTTTTTAAAAAAATAATACTATTTACAATAAGTTTAATTGTATTTAATTTTTAAAAAATAAAACTAATTTTATGGTTAATTACTTATTTAAAAAATAAAGTGCCCTCCCCTTTTAAGTTTATTTGATTCTATTTACAGTTCCAAGTAACATATGTTGACAAATAAAACAAAAGGAGGAAAAATATTTGAATTAAGACAGCAATATTTTCAAACTTTTACAAGTGTTTAAAAATATTAATTTTAAATTTTAACTTTAATTCAGCAATTGAGATATTTCAATTACAAATAAGCATGTAAATAGCTTCAAGTCTCGAAGATTAAAATCTCCATAATTTTCAGGATAGAATATGTAATCATGATAACCTTGTCATATAACCTTGTCATATAAACATATGTCATATGATTATGTGCAAGTTAAGTGTTTAAAATGGTTTACCAAAATATGGACGGTAGGTTCATCAAAGGAAAGAAGAAAAGTTTATTTTAAAGCAGCTTCAAAGAAGATGAGACTTTTTTTTTAATTACCAGCAGGGAGAGATGAGACTCGAGAAGTGGAGAGGGGATCAATTCACAAGACTAGATAATTCAGTTTCAATATCCTAATGGTTGCTTGGTTTGAAATTCATATTCAGGGTTTATCTAAACCCTGAAATTTATTAGTCACGTAGAGGCAAAATGTGCGTTCATGCATTGCAATAGCCACATCCCACCATCTAACCTGCGTTCCCTGCATCACCAGTGAGGCATCGAAGACAAATAATGAATCGAGAGACGGAGGGGGAGAGAGCATTTGCAATGACATAACTAAGTTGCCTCGTAGGATGCCATGAAAATTTACAGTTCCGGTGTCCAGTGACTTGTCAGCACGGATCTTTGCTGCAGTAGCCAAAAATCAAGTCCCTTTACCACTTTTCAATACATCGAAAATCTTCCATTCTCGAGGCTCACTCGACTTCTTTGGTTGCTATTCGTTTCTTCGTCATTGTGACGAATTTTTCTTCTATTCATCTCAGAATACATTTCCTCTATCATTGGCTTCCAAAGTCGTACTCGAGCATTTATAAACCAATTGGATACCTGCTTAGGACAACTTACAAACTCAGGTATTGATTAAGAAGCCACCAAATGATGAAAGATAGCCAGCCACATTCCAGTTCTTGTTCGAAAACAAAAACTGAAGAGCCGAAAGTTTTAGTTTACCTGGCTCCTGGTCAAGCCACTTTTCATTGCAAGCAAGTGCTTCTCTGCATCCTTCGGATACCTGAAATTCATGGGAATACATACACTAAGCTACAGACCTCAATTTAGAAAATGATGATGATAGATTCCATGTTTTCGATTGAACCGTGATGCTCCCATATGCTGAATCTTGTCATCTTTGTCTATGAATCCCCAGATAAAAAATCTTTCCAAGAACAAATTGTTTGTGCTGCATATTTGCCGGAGAAGGTGAACAGGTGATGGAACACAATTGAAGCATGCAGAAATGTGGAAGAGACTTGTAACAAAAATATAGGATTATCAAGCAGGGAAGGAAGATTTGAATTTCAATTTATCTCTTGAACAACAAATAACAAATTGTTTAAGGTTGTATGTTATATGCCAAAAAAAGAAAAAAAAAAAAAGTTACAGATGAAGGAACAACTACAACATGCGTCCAATTTGATATGTGTGTGTGTGGGTGTTTTTTTTTCCCTTTTTTGAAATGTGCATGTAATAATCAAAACACTCTTCGTTGAAATTTCTTACCACCTTCTTCCATGTCTTTAACATGATTTAGCAGTCTTAATATGAAGAAGCTTTATTTGAACCATTGAGGCACACGGGGCCATTTCCTTCCGAGACAATGTTGGTGCTTTTAACCTGAACTTAGAGTCAAGGTGTTAAATTTCTGAATCATCCTCAGTTCCTGTTAGGGTGATTCTGAAGCAGTCCGTTAAAGAAGGCCCTATACCCAACTTTGACCAAAAACTCGAGCTATTAGGTAATGGGTCCATACCTATGTCTATGCACTTTAGTTATCTCCTCAAGCCAGTAGGGGAAAACATAAAAACCAAACCGACCATGAAACTGAAAATTCCTGATTATTGCCTAGAAACACAGTCAATGGCACAATTCAGAAAGGAGTACACCATAGACAAATTAACCGGCTAGTTGGAGGAGGATGTTTTTAACTCACAGATACAAAAAGGAATCATGCAGTCATTCTGATGGATTGATGCAAAAGCAGGAATTCATAAGTCCAAGAACTCACGGGTGGAGGAAGTTTTGAAACATCCAGGCCCTCAAGACAGAAACAGATCTTTCTGGCAACCCTCTTTGAGGCCTCCATAACTGATTGTCTTCCTTTTTAGCTGCTGAAGTGCCCATTGCTTCTGGATGAAAGACGCCTCAAAAGACTCTTCATTTTCTCTCACTACTCCTTGACTGAGATGTGCTCCCATTGCAAGAATGTGGTTGCTAATCCTCTCACGTAGGTTCTTATACAAGATAGAGATTGTTTGAAGAGCAAAACGAGCATGTATAGGAGGGTCCAACTCAGTCACAGCATGAAATGCAGAAATGACGGTATGTATCTCGTCTAAGCATTCGTTGTATCTATCATCAACCTAATAGAAGTGTTATAGAACATTACCAGGTGTTAAGTCATAAAAAAGGAAACATAAGCAGTAACATGTTTGGCACAAGTGAATATGAGGACAGAAGCATCATAGAACTAGTTCCCATCACACTCTTAACACATCATGAATCCAATAGAAGGCAATCAAAGACAGGCAAAATAAGTTCTTGTTAAGAAGCCAATTCACTCAAAACAATTTATGACTTCTTCAGCCAATAATGTTGGCTTATAACAAAAGTAGCTTCTTATTGAATTATGTTTGGCTGCGGATCAATGGAAATTCCAATTTTGAAATCAGAAAGAAAATAAAAGATGTGGACATGAATGTGCTCCTATACTAGAGGAAATATATGTGAAAATGAACATTTTACGCACAAAAAAGGGAAGAATGGTGCATCTCAGATTTCCTCTAGGTGTTTCTGTAATCCCTAAATTTCCATTATGTTGTGAAAGGAAACAGACTGTTCCTGAAATTAAAATAAGAATTGCCCCTTCCTTTCCCTTCTCTCATCCTTCCCGGGGCATTTTGCATGCCAAGTGTAATCCATCATAAAAACTAAGTATAAAGCAAGTGACATATCAATCTTGAAAGCAAAAGTTGCACCACATACCGCTTCTAATAAACCCAGCAGTTGCTTCTTCTTTCTTTCTGCATTTCGTCCTGGAAGTACGGGATCAATTTGATATCTTACTATGTTTGATGCATCAGAAAAGTCTTCAGAAGCTGCAGATAAATATCCTTCTACAGCAGTGCAACTTGAAGAAATTGAAGCATCTGCCCTGTCTTCCATTCCAATAGCAGGAGACTTCATCAGGTCAAGACTTCCAAGAGAATAGGCAGCTATCTCAGCGAGTAATTCTTGCATCACATGGATATATCTTGACCCAGATAAGAACTGCGAAAGCTGAACTGGCCTATAAGAACCAAAGCCCAAAGAAAGATTCCTATTGCAAGAAGTTTGTTCGGAGCCCAAACATCTTTCACAAGGGCTACTGGAGCCGCAAATTTCGGAACACTGATCCTGGATAGAAGTCCTGTGTACAACAGAAGGGTTTGTCATAGCAAGGCTGAGGGACAGCTCGTTACTCAACCTAGAACAGCCTGAGGGACTGTCAGAGTCCAAATTGGCATTTTCTGATGTTATCCACTCATTTGGATAGAGGTTCATCATTGACTCAAATGGTTGCAATCCAGTCCTTCCCACTGCTGCCCCTGCTAGCTCTGGATGAGCAGCAAAATTGTTAAAATCCCATTTTGTGCTTGTAGAAGCAGGTAAACCATCATACCCATATCTCATAGAGCTGTGAGATGGATTTAAATTGTCAGCATTGTCATTTAGGACAATACTTCTGGGTATTTCCAAGGGGTAAATTAAAGGAGCAGAAGAAACAGGTTTTTCTAGATTCTCCTGATTATCAGACCTTGCAGCCAAAAGGGTGGCAATGGATGCAGCAGAAAGGGGCATTCCCTCCATATATCTATCCTGAACTTGAGTACTACTGATTTGATGTGATGCTCCATATGGGACAACCCCCATAGGTTCTCTTTCTGGCAGCGTGTTTCTTAACATATAAGAATCAGAGATCCTGCCAGAATTTGGCTCATGGATCCATGCTTGTGAACTGGTGCCGTCACCCTGCACTACTGAAGGCCCAGGAATTCCAGAAAGTATCCGGTCTCGGTTGTTCAACACAATTAATTCAGAAGAGCTGAGGAAGTTTGCATCAAATGGATTTCCAGAACTTGGTTCAGTCATGTCTATTGGCATATCGAATGCATCAATTTCTGTTATGTTGACAACCAAGCATTAACCAAAGGAAATTGATAGACAGCTCTGAAAACATTAACAGTCGGTCTTGAGTTCAAAACCAAGCCCTGTGCTTAAAGACTATTAACTAACTGTATTCTTAATTAAAAAAAAAAAACAGTTACTGCACTTGAAGCAACCTGTTATCCGGATAACGAAGCCTCCCAAGATAAAGTACCAATGCTACTTTCATTGCTAACTAATTTTTCTTTTTCTTGAAAATTTTGAAAAAGCTCGAGGAGCTTCAGAGTAGCAGGGATTAGCTAGTAAATAAAAATAAAATTTTAAATTGACAATCAACTGAATCTCCAAAGGTACAATTTATTCAAACTCAAGACCACAAGCCATTGACTGTTCTTATGTACTTCTCTTTTAACAAGTACAATGTCTCTCACATGGCCAACACACGTTAATGCAGTTCTATGAAGAGACATGTGAAGTTTCATTACCATTACGAGTAAAAACAAAAACAATCTAAATCAATATCGCTATTTGTATTTGTCTATTTGTAACTTCCTCTCCATGAACAGGAGGCCTGGAATTCTCCAAAATATCTTTAGAAAGAAATCATTATTGACTTCTCAAAGCAACATTCCCTGGTACTACATATTACTCCTCAGTAACAAGAGCTATTCGGCCATTAAATGATGTACCAATAGAGGAAACATGATGTGAATTCAGCACAGGTAGCATGCTAGATAGAAGGGGTAAGCCAAGTTGGAAAAAGATTCATTGCCCATTGGGCGTCCAATCTAGATTTCATCCATAATAATGATTAAGAAGAGAGATTTCATCTTAGATTGTTTGTCAGCAGCATTTATTTACATAAAATGCACGTGCTTAAAATAAACTACAGTACAAGTTTTAGACAGCAAACTGCCAAACCACATTTTGTACTGTTTAATAAAGGAGTGTGAAGCCGCTTATGGAACTAATTAATTATGCTATGTAGCTTATACTTAGTATTTTTTCAGACACGAGACAAATCCATTTTGATTAAACCACTAACCAGCATTTCAACTTTTCAAGACAGTCCAGTCCAATGACAGGAGGTGAGGAGAGTCTAAAGGGGTCCGTCATCAATGGAACTAGTTAAAATTACAACAGCCTAACACATTACAGCAACAACAAGAAACAGGCAAACGGATAAGAGTACAAAGGCGTAGTGGGGTACCATAAATATAGATACATTACACAAATTGAAACGCAAAAAAGAAGTTTAAAATAAAAATGCATAAAACTGAAGCACAGAGAATTAAGTAGGCATGGAAGACATGAGAGTAACACATTTGATATCATTACTATATTCAGGACTGCAAGAATGCCAAGGAGACGCACAAGAGAAAGAGAAACACCAAAAGTTAGGGACGTTAAGAACAGGTAAGGTAACCAACCTTGATTGTCTTTGTAGAGGAAAGATCAAGTATCTTGAAATAACCAGTCTACTGGATAATGGACCTTCCCCTACTAATCTTTACCAGCCTTGTCAAGAGAATATACTGGATGAAGATATGAGAAGGTAGATTGGTAGGATACTTCGCCTTACAAGGGACCTAAATTGTTGCTGATACTTACCATTACAAGGAAAAAGGTGAAAGCTTGAAAACGTATACTTGGGCACGGGCACTACATGTAGGTTTCCTCAGAGAATCCAAAAGAATCCTGTGTAAGCAGTACTGTGAAACTCTCATGAAGGATGCTCATGGGTTTTCCCGGCTCTCCCCAAACAGTACGACAAATCAAAGCCCGCTAAACAGTGCTTAAAAGAACCCCTTTTTCTCGGTAATTTTTTTGAAAATTTTGATACACCTTGAATATTGAAGTAGTGCTAGTATAGAGTCGGGTAGAAAAAGCCAAGGAGTAGTGTACTACACCACTGCATTAACCCCACCGGCTTTAAAATGCAGAAAGTGAATACTTAAAGAAGGACACCAACGCAAAAAGTGAGCTGTTTTGCTTGCATGAAGAGGAAAAGTGTGGGATTTTATTCAAGAATCCAGAACCCAAGAAACTCGGTTGACAGAATCTCATACATAACCCATGAAGAAAGAATCATGATGCATCATTTCATCATTTTCCCTCTACCTCTGTCGTAGTCTTCAACATAAACTCGCAAAGAGCTAAAGGCTTCAACAATGACAAAAGTGTTGATCATCATCACTCACAAGCCAGGTTATCATTAAAGGGAGCGAGTTAAAAAGGCGAAAATAATAGGAGCTTCTGCAGGGATCATGTATGGAAATGGAGAAATAATGAATGAACCTGACCCCATTATTAAAAAAGATAGAGAAAAAAAACAGCCACACAACACAAGAAAGAAGAAAAAGTCATCAGGAAAAAGATTTAATTGCTATTGCTACTGCTGCTACTACACTCTGGTGCTGCTGTTCCACTCATTTGTTTTGCAGCCTTTTTATGGAAGGGCCCATGCATTAGCATCAGTACTTCTCTCTCATCTGTTGCGGTTTGTGAAGAGGGCTCCTCATGAATCTGATCTCCTTTGTCCTCCTCCTTACCTCTCATCATCTGCCACCCTTCCCTGCCACTGCCAACCCCATCATCATAATCTAAATATCTGGATTCCCTCCTGTTCAAACTCCTGTGCGTGGCAGGTCCTAGTCTTATTATTATCTCACCATTTTTGAGAAAGAGAAAAATAAGGGGGAAAAATGGAGTCTTTACTTTACTGTTTTAGAATATATAAATGGGACGCGAAGAGTACGAGTGCCACCCAATGCGATGAGAAACAAGAGAGCAAAGGGTAAGAAAGAAACATGCTTTCGTTACCTGAATTTAACAACTAAGAAATAAAAGCAAGTTGATGTGAGGGAAAAGGGCAGTGGTACTAGCACTATTCCACCGGCAGTGTAATTTTGTCCTAGTACTACTTTTTAGTTTTTTGGAGTGTGTGAAAAAAAAAACAAAAGAAAATAAAAGTTTATATTTTTTTAATTATTTTTTTATCTCATATACATCAAATTATTAAAATATATTTTTTTAAGAAAATTTCAGTAAAAATAGTAATTCAAATGAAATTAAAAAATTTAATATTTGAAATATATTTTATCGAATGGTCAATGAAAGGCCATGTATAGAAAGGATGATGCAAGCAAAATTGGAGGGTTTTGGGGAAGAAGATCTGATATGGAGATCTTTGACGAATTTATTGGTGCAATTTCGATGCCTATCCACTGCTTTGATTTTGTACGGCTGGGCCTGACTGAGACAGCGAGAGATAGAGAGAGAGAGAGAGAGAGAGAGAGTCATACTTTGGCTTTGCATTCATACTTCAAAAAGGAAAGGGCATGGGAGTGATATAACAATCCACTTGATCACTGACAATATTTCACATATATCCTTTGAAGTTTCAAAGGTTATGCCTTTGCCCCTGGAAGTTTGGGCTATTTGCGTCGAGCCATAAAAGGTCCATAGACCAAAAAGTCTAAAATCTGCCAAACCACTCTCTCTCGAGTGGGGATGTGGGGCGGAAATGATTGCAGTAAGCAACTATTTCAAAGGTTGATAGTTAAAATTTGGCAAATATATATATATATATATATATATATATATTTTTTTTTTTTCATCTTGTACATATTATTTTTCATACTACATGTGGAGTTTATAAAATTTTATTTTATAATTATGTATTATACAAAATAAATTACATCATGTATAAATTGAGTTATATTTTATACAAATACACAAAATCGATCCGCACAGTTTCTCGATTGATTGTTCCTACCCCAAATTCCTTAACAAGCGAGAGTATTGTTTGTTTCTCAGTTGGTTATCAGGGGAAGAATTATTGATTTAACAGTTTGTTTTGATCGAAGATTATTTAAAATAATTATTTGTGAGATAATAAAAATAATTAAAAATAATACAATCGAAACAGTATTTAAAAATAGTTGTTTCGTGAAGCTCATGTTCCATTTTCATCAAGATCAATCTTTGGAGTCATTCCGCTTGTTAGGTATACCATTTGTTATTTTTCTTAAAAAGAATTAAAAGCCTCCAGCAAAGTATCACTATAAGGTTTCTCATTCTTTTATTTTCTGTTACATGCGATGTTTTTCTATGATTTTATGCAAAGAATCATAGAACGGACCCATTGAATTTTGAGCTAAATATGTTTTTTTGATTGATAGCATGCCAATCGCTTGTCCTTTCTGACTCCTGAGTCATACTCTTATTCCTACCTTTTGATCATCTTCATTAACTCCATCTAAATGAATAGAGTTTGGTTCAATCTTTTAGATTCAGATCGAGACCTATTAAATTTAGTGAGACCTAGATTCAGATTCAAATTACTATGTGTCCGAAAAAGTAAACCTAGACTTAAACTGTCATAGTTCTGGATATCCAACGAATATTCGTGAATATTTTTCTGTACAAAAGGTAAAAAACTAAAGTGATATTTTGAAAATATATAGAGTTTAAAAGTAATATAAATACCATCAGTATTATGAATTCAAATAAATAATCTATCCAAAATCATATGTCTCTTATAGATTATAGATTATGGATCAGGTAAAGGTGTGAGTTTGGCAAATTAAATCCAAACCTATCCAAGTATATTGAGTTTGGGTTGGGTTTGAGAGAGACTCTGCCCGATTAACATGACTAACTATGAACCCTCGCTAATAAGTAGATCAAGTTACTTTTCAAAAGATCGTGGATCGAGCTTTTCGTGGAGACCCATCAAATGAAAACGGCCTAAATATTGGATCCCAGCTTGTATCTGGTAACTATTGGGCTTAGGCTAGTGTTGCTGGTCTGTACCAATAGCCTTTTTTCTTTTTTTGGGGAAATTTGTCAAATTGGTCCTAACATTTTCACATAAAACTTTGTTAGTTCCTAACATTTAAAATCAGCCAAAATAATCCTAACATATAAATTATGAGTCAGTTTGGTCCTAATGCTCGTATTTGCTCATTTCTCCGACGAAAAATAGCACATCTCTCTCACGTGAGTATAATTTTAAGGGCAAAATCGAAAGACATTCATTAATCCATGGTTTTACACTCTGAAAGAAAGAGAATATTCTCTTCAAAGCTCAAGTTCTCAAAGGCTACTCTTCCATAACTCCACCCACTCCTCCCGGAGTCAATCTCGAGTCATTTTCCCTGCACCTACTCCATCAGATGCATTCCATCATCACTACTAACCCAAAGCCGGATGATCTCAAGAGAACTAGAAAACTTGAAGTTTCATTGAATGTTGAAAACCAAGAAAAACAAATCATTCACAACATTTTGCAATCTTTCACGAAATCCCAAATTGTTGAATCCTTCAGAAGTTGCGATTGTCCATCCTAGCATTCTCCATACCGTTCTTTCCATCATTGATGACATCCCATCCTACCGCAAGATTTTTATAAAAAGTCTATGGTTTTGTTACTTTCAAGAATGTTGAGTCTTTCTTGCTTGCCCTAGAAAACCCTAGCAATAAAATTGATGGGTTTGTCAGCAATAAAATTGGTGGAGAATGTGCCAACCAACTGAGATGAGTTTTGAGACTTTGTTGAGTTATTTTGGGAGGTATGGTGAAATTGAAGAAGGGCTTGGGGGTTTGATATGGGGACAGGGAAATCAAGGAAAGTGCAAAAGCTGCTTTGGCTGAGAAGGTGAAATTTGTTGATGGTTTCCGGCTAGTTTGCAAAATGGTGTCGAGGGAAAGGGAGAAAAGTAATAGGAATCCAAAGGGGGTTTTGCTTGTAAGACCCTGGATTAACCAATGTTTTCGATTTTGCCCTTGAAATTATACCCACCTGAGTGAGGTGTGCTGTTTTTAGTCGGAGAAATGAGCAAATACTAGCATTAGGATCAAATTGGCTCATAATTTATATGTTAGGGACTATTCTGACTGATTTTAAATGTTAGGGAATACAAAATTTTTTGTGAAAATGTTAGGGACCAATTTGGCAAATTTTTCTCTTTTTTTTTTTTACTGGGGGTTATCCGGACTCCGGGTATGCGGGATCCGACTAATCCCCCTGAGACCCGAGAGGAGAGGCCCCATCCCCTCGAACTGATAATCACTGGGACTCGATCCCTGGTGGAGGAGAATGAACAACGGGACTTTAGGAGGCTTTCCGTGACCAATCGAGCTGCTTAGGTGGGGGTTCTGTACCAATAGCCTGCACTTGTTCTTTCTTCTTTTTTAGTTTTCTCTTGATTTGGATTTGAATTAGATTCAAAAGGTTTTTTTTATTGGGGCTATGGACTGAAATTGAATACACTAAACGCTGATTATATAGTCATTTCATTATTGTGTAATGGCCATTTCCCTCCATCCTGATCCAGTTAAATCTCTTTTAGTTGCAGATTTAATAGGAGCGTCGCATCATCCTTTTAATTATTGTGTGATGGCAATTAGGCCTCCTTTTAACTGAAAAAAAAATTAAAAAACCTTAGTTTCTCTAAAAGTAAATCGTCCAAATCTAATAATTGAGCCATTGTTGGTAGACGTTCTGTAAAAATAACTGCAAACCAGAGTGCAAATTGTGGCTTTGTCTTGGCTGACAGGAGGTCAAGTACCATCCTTCTAATATTTATTCTACTAAAATTTTTCTCATATTATACAATTTACCAAATAGAATAAATACTTGGAGATTATTGGTTCTTATATTTTGTTTTTGCCAATAAAGTGGACATTTAAAACAAATTAGCCTTGGTGCTATGAAGTTTTCACGTCAAGTAAAAAACAACATTTGCAAAATTCATGCAGATAAAAACACACATATGCATGACATCCTACAACAGGCGTAAATTTGGTTAATTTTGAGGACTCTATAAACTTTTACATTTGTTTCTTGACAAAATAATGACTGGAGTATACATATTGTGTATCAGTCGCGATTTCCTTTTGGACAAGAATTAAATGTGGTCTTGAGATCCAGTTTAATTGATAAGGACAATAATTAAATATCAACTGTGAATTATTCGGTCCAACTCTCATACCTTTTCCTTTCCCTTTCTTCTCGTAAGACTTGTTAAAAACAAATTTAAACAAGTAAATTATATATTGAAACTGTGTCGAAATAGTATGATCTTTTTGCACAGTATTTTGAACTTGACAAATAATCATTCATTAATCAACCATCGTAATGCGAATAGTAAAATGCAGCATCATTTTAACTTAGGGTTCGTTCAACGGGTGCCCACTAAACACTCGTTAAAATATACTTTAGGTGTTTAACTTTTAGAATGGTAAAATTAATTAGAAAAAATGCATAAATACAAGAAAAGATAATAATTATTGATATGTGCACACACATGATAAGTTAAGCAGAATTTAGATGCGCTAACGATGAGCTTTCGCTACAAAAACTCATTAACTTATTATTAAGTGGTGTTAGATGTTGACTCCTTAAAATCATGCATTCTGAATCTGGTGCATTGCCCAGAATTGAGTTGACTCCCAAATTGTCTCAACCTACTGCAAGCTGTACAATTTGCAAGCTCGTGGATGAGTTCACAAAAGCGTAGATGAATTGAATTGACTCAGAATTTAAGGTTCAGTCTTTCTGTCAACAGCGTGAGCGAGGCCGCCACCTGCTCCAAGAAATTAAATATGCCACCCTCCCAAGTTTTGAAACTACCAGCAGTTTTACTATTTCTTTAACGTTAATATGCATCCAGTTTGACATCAACTGATGTCGTTGTCTCATCTTGATTCCTTTAGAAAAGAAAAATGAAATGATATTCATTGTACCCTTTTTTCCTTTTTTGATTTCACTTTCTACTGAAATATGACCAGTTTCTTTCCCTTTTTTTTTTTCTTGTCAAAAATGACCAGTTTCATTTGAGGATTTGTAAATAGGCTCTGCATATTCGTGTTAAGATTGGATTGAAGACGTTTACACCATTCACGAAGTATATATATATATTTATAGCTGCAAGCCTTTCTTTTTATGCATTTTTTCTCTTTCTTTTGTTGAGAGAATGCATAGCATGCACAGGGTTTGAGTGTTGTTATATACCTGGAAACATCTTGCAATACATTGCTTGAAATACACCAAACAATGCTGTAAATATGCAATTGATAGCTCCAAAACATAAAAAGAAATACGAGTACATTGTTCAAGGTTGCCAACTAGAAAATTTTGTCCCCGTCTTACGTACAACTACTTTTTCTAATTCCCTCTGTCAAATTAATTTGCATGTATAGTTAAGGAGCATAAATTTGTAATTGGTTTTTTTTTTCTTCCCTTTCTACGGGTCTGTGCTGGTCATGAACCTGCCTCATTGAATTTTATTCCAAGTTATGTTAGATCTTTTAGATCTATTATCTTTTTGTCCCAAAAAGTTTGGATGGGTTCGACTCCCATCACTGTCACAGGTTAGGATATATCGTCCGAATTACAGATCGCTCACCAACACAATTTTCATATCGACAGCTATAGAAAAGCGGCAGAAAAGCTTAATTTTATAGATGGTACAGTACCTTCACCACCATTAGTTGAGGGTTGACGTCCCTAATCTGTCACTAATCAGCTCCCGGGGGGGGGGGTGTCACATGTTAGCTCACGAGGTTCTCAAGATATCCATCTATTCTATGCCTTGGCCATTTTGATAGAACATTGAAGCCACACCACAAAAGACATAACAGTTGCAAGTTGCTCATCAAGTATATGTCAACCCCAAAATCAAACACCCCACGTACCTTTCATTATTTCAAGCCTCATATATTAATCTTCACACCTAATTCAACCCCAAGTATATTGTTCTTTGTGGTCATCTATCAACTGAGTCAGTCATGCATATAGCTGCTGAGTGCAAGTTGTGAAATATAATGGATTGCCAACTAATAAATAAGGAGAAAGCTATCGGCTTTGACTTTCTTGTTTTTTGATTGAGGGCTCCAAATTAATTAAGGACTCCTTCAGCCTTTGATGTCCACAAATCAGATCAAATGTACTCATAAAGTAGCAATAAGTACAATTGATTCAACTTATTAAATCCAAAGAAAAATCTAGCTAATTAATGTGCCAATGCCGCCAACCAATCATTTATTTTAGAAGGAAATGAAACTTTCTTTAATGATAGCCCAAAAAACTATGGCTGATTTCACATTCACCCAACAAAAACTAGTAATTAATTATGCTTGATGGTCACCTAAAACAAGAAATGAAAAACGAGAAACCAATTTCAACTTACAACAAACCCTTGAGAGAAGATGGTACTACCATTTTGATGAGGTAATAAATCCCACCCCCTTTTTTTTTTGAGGTAGAGTATTGCAGAAAAGCACCATCAGAACCATCGCCACCTTTATCCGATCAAATTCATTCATGTCCATGCAAAGAAGCCGTTGCCACGACCCCAAGCTTTTGGAGATTCAACTTCACAACTGTATCAGTAAACATCTTTGTATCCTCCGCAGTGTTGCCTTCTGGGATATCAACAATATAAGACTCGAGAACAATGGTGTAAACCTTACCTTCATTATCGAATTCATTAACTGATGTCACAGATTTATAGTTGTTTAGCCTGTGCTCTCCCCCAACCACCCTGAAGCTCAGAATATGCTTTTCTTCATCCAGAATCTCGAGTATCTCGGTGCTGGTAGAAGCTGGAAGCCCCGAAACAACCGTGACTTCTCTGATGCTGCCAACACTTCCATCCCCTGTCATGTTGCAGCCCTTGATGAAGTGTTTGTACTTCTGAGGATTGTCAAAACGCCTGACGAATGGCCACACCACTTTTGCTGGTGCATCAATGCGCTGAGTTATCAGGGATGTGCATGTATTTGGGGTTGGCTCAAAAGTGTGGTACGTGGAAATTAGCCGCTCGAGTTCAGAAAATTCTTCTGGGCTCAGCCCTTGTGGGATTTGGTTGTTGCCATCCATTTTTTTGGACAAATCTTGCTAAAATGGCTAATTAATCTACCTTTTTTTTTTCTTTTTTTGGGAACCTGAGAAACTGATCGAGGATGATTCAAGAATAAATATGGGGTTGCAGTTGCAGGAGAGTGCAGGGGTGGTGCAGACTGCAAAAGCAACAACGGCAAGCAGGAGAAAAATAAAACTTGGGGACAAGATTGATTGGTTCTACTTTGGGCGCATTTTGTAGCCAAAAATGGGATAAAGGTGGATGCTTTTGTTGGGGGGGTGGGGGGTGGGGTGGGGCTAAGGTTCTCTTCTTTGTTTATGTAATGCTTAGTTTTTAGCGTATCTTATTTAGCTGCCACAGCAAAAAAGTTCTCTAGTCATTTTGCCTGATGTGCCCTCGGGTTTCTAAAATTGAGGTAATCTAAGATTTTAGCTCAGTGTTTGTCTCTGTCCCAAATGGGCAATTACTGCCAAATCTTGAGATTATAGCAGGGACCAATTCATACCTAAACAAGCAAGAATCTCTCAAGGGATATAGCTCTAATTTATCTTGCTACTTGCATAGTATTTTATAAGGTGGGAAATTGGTGAAGCCTTGTCATCCCATCTTTAATAAGATAGATAGATGTCTTACTATTTTGAGAAAGTGGTGGGGATGCTTAGCCTGTGGTTATGAGGAGCTAATTAAGGATGTAGTAGCTTTACTTCAGTGATAAATATCGGGTGTGATTGTACAAACAAGATTTGAAGTAGAATAATTTATTTCATAAATTTCAATCAACTTTTTATTTCACATACATCACATCACAAAAAGTGTTACAGTAATTATCTCAAATAAATCATCCTCATTTACTCGTGGAGTCAATGATAGTCACAACCTTCTCTAAGTAGTATAAGACATTTTTTCTACAAATTAACAAATAGCTTTGTTTGGAATTTTGGATAGCTTCTGCCTTTTTTTTTTTAATATTTTTTAAAAACAATTTTTAATCCCAGAAGATACATTGCATCCCAGAAAGTGCTATATTATTATTCAAAAAAAAAAATCGAATAATCTTCAACCCCAACTTGTATGATAGGTAATTAGTTGGTTGTCATCTCCATCTACTTGTTCTAATATCTCAAGTTATCGAGAAATTCAGCCAAACAAGAAAAGGGAAGAGAAGAAGAAAAAGGAAAAACAAGAAAGAAAGAAAGGAAGAGAGGAGGGACAGGAAGGGGAAAAAGGGGAAAGGGAGAAGGTCAGCATAGGGTCACAATCGTTGAAAAGGGCAAGCTGTTAGATTCGTGGATCATGTGACCCGTTTAACAAACTGGCCGCGTGATCCAAACACCACTTTGCAGTTTGCAGCATTTCCACCTCAATTGGACCCACTCTTTCCAACTGCAAAAGGAAAAAAAAATTTCTTCTCTCTTTTGAATTTTCCATTACTTTTATCAGACCTTATGAATTTAGAAACTGCAGCATGTTAAGCAACATTGACTATTGATAAATATATACATATATATATATATATATATATATATATGTTAAATCCAGAAGACGCTCGAAACCAGTCTTCTAGTATTTAAATTGTTATTTGTCCCTTTTAGAAAGTATTTAAAGCATATTGATATATTGATATATATATATAAAACACACACACACACACACACACACACATATATATATAACAATGTTCAATTCCTATATAATTCTTACATTCTACCAAGTGGACAATTGTCTTTTTTTTTTTTTAGGGGTGGTTAGGTTTAAATTGTTTTATTTTTATTAACAACAACTAATTATAAATTCACATTTTAGGTGTAGTATTTTTATTAATAACGACCAATGAACCACTTTATTATCCTTAATTTACGTTCTTATTGTGTTTAATTTTGGTTATATTTTAGAATATATATGACCACTTGTTAATGACAAAAAATCAATCACCACTTTGTTATCCTTAATTTTAGTACTCATATAAAGTAGGAAAATTATATATTTTTACTTATGTTCACAATCAATCCCCTTCCATTATCATGAGCTTGCTATTGGCATATCAATCAGCTTAGCATAAATGACAATATTTTTTCACCCGTATCCTCAAACTATATTTGAATAGTTAATCAAAAAATTAGTTTATATATTTAAATAAATATTTGGATTTTCAAAATTTATGCTGCAATATTTAATTGTGCTACTAAATGTAAAATGACCCGTGTTAATGCATGGGAAAGAAACTAGTTGACAGATACAATCAGGATTACAAATGCTCATTTAGTATTTCCTTTAAGGCAATAAAAGAAAATTTTTACATTTGTAAATATTATGTCAATGAAAAATAAAATTGTTAACATTCTACATATTATGTCAACCAAAATAGAAAACTTATCAATGCAGATGTCTGAATATATTTCTTTTCCATTACAAATTGAGACACTCGCACTTGCTGAGATTTTATATAAGAAAAGAGAATTATATATATTTCTTTGTTTCTTGGAATGCATGACCTTGATCTAGCTTCGACGAAATACTCTTTTTTATATTCTTTTCCTTTCTTTGTAATTTTCTTCATGAATCCACTTTTGATGCTTTTCCGTCAATTCTGTCCGCTTTTTATTTAATTATAAGGGAAGTTAATAAACCGCAAAACTTGCATTTTCAGTTTTTCACCTTATTGTGCTTGACGATAAAGAGTTGCACATCTTCTATTGTCGTTTTACCGTACAAAAAAATGTGTATTGCTTGTTGGAAATAGGTAATGATTAATTCAGATACGCGAAATTAATCGTTTAAGACATCTAACTTACACTATATGAAATATCAGGTGATGTATACCCAATATAGAATATACCTACATCTTTTAATCACTTTTTTTTGTTGACAAAAAAAACCTACAACAGCTATTCGAGAGTGTGCACTAGATAAAACCCGTCCTGTGCAATAGCCTGCGAACATCTTTTAATCACTTTGACCAACACTTCATGATTTACAAAAACAAATTGCCTCAAGCAACGTATATTATCGAAATATATAGATATCATAGAGATAGAATGAATAATGAGAAATTCTTATATACCCTAGGGCTAGGGTATATCCATATTAGGGTCGGGTGGAAAGGAATCGAGTTGAAACTAGCTACTAGCGAGCTTCTATAGTCAAAACTCAAGCAGCTCGAATACATTTGAAAATTGAGTTCAACATATATTTATGAGGTTCGAAAGCTTGCGGAATGTAAACAAATCTTATAAATATATATATATATATATATGTGTGTGTGTGTGAATTTCATTTATTCTACATTTTAGATATTTTCATAAATTTTATATGTTTATTAAGTAAAACGTTTATTTTATCTTGTTTTGAAAAATATAAAATGCTGAATTAAGCTTGACTAAGTTAGGCTTGTTTAAGTTCAAAATTGAGTTCGATCAAGTCAAAATACCTATGCAGTATAGTTCAAGTTCAAGTTATTTTTAAGAGCACGATGAGTCTGAACTCACATATTTTAATTTAAATTGAGGTTAAACAGTAAACTACTAGAATTCGATGCTCATTGTTTACACCCTAGTCCACATTAATTATAATTTTGATATTTAACAAGGATAAACAAAATAACACACGAAATTATGGCTAATACATGAGAATTTCTGAACAAAAAACACACAAGTCCTTCCGAAAACATTAAAAGAAAATGAAAAAAGAAAACTGTCCTTAGTGGTACTTAACCGAGCAGCAGCAATGTTGTTGGAGGCCAATTCCAAAACTCGGTGACGACAACTGTTGCGCTTTTGACATTATATGGTGGATTGCAGATACAGACGTTTTTTTTTTGCTGCCTTCACTCGCTTTTTACCCCCGGATCTCCTTAGGTTCATTCCCTCTCCTTAGTGTAGGATAGAATAAATTTATCGTCTCCGAAAAAAATAAATTAGATGACAGAAAAGTGAGGAGTAGTGGAACTATGTATAATATTTTGTTATTAATATTTTGTTTTGTCTGGAAAGAGACTCTAACCCTTACAGGTTACAAAGGAAAAGGCTAAAGGAAAGTTTGAGTGTTAAACTATAGGGTTAATTACATTTACTTCCCCTGAGGTTTGATCATATTACCAATCAGTTCTTATAATTTGTCCAAATAACGGTCTCACCCTTTGAATGATCAAACATTTAACAAAAACCCCTTAATGCCGAAAATGCCCTTATTGAGGCCATGTTGCATTAAAAAAAGAACATATTTTTATTTTATTAACCCTGAAGCAATCCAAAAAAAATAGAAAAACGTTTTTGCTTATTATTTCATAAAAACCATATCTTTGCTTCCATAAATAGTTTTGAATCAATAATTATTTTAAATCTTAAAAATGAATATTAAAAATTAGATAAATTGAAAGAAAAATAAAAAAGAAGAAATTATTTTAATTCCTGGAGTATGGTTCAAATTGAGGAAAACATGCCTTGTGCTCTCCGCAACATGCCTTGAACCACAAATTCGAAGATGTAGGAAAAACTTTTTTCTATTTTTTGGATTACTTGAAGGTTAATAAATAAAAATATGTTCTTTTTTGAATGCAACATGGCCTCAATAAGGGCATTTTCGGCATTAAGGGGGTTTTTGTTAAATGTTTGATCATTCAAAGGGTGAGACCGTTATTTGGACAAATTACAGGAATTGATTGGTAATATGGTCAAACCTTAGGGGAAGTAAATGTAATTAACCCTAAACTATAAATGTTCTTACCAAACAAATTGGGGCCCTGTTTGGAAGCTTGGTTTTTTACCAAGTTTGTATAAAACTAGTTTTTTAACAACTTTTGTTACAGGAACCCCAAAAAACTTATCAAAAGTTTTTAACCTACACACTTAAAATATCAAAAACACAACAACAAAAAATTTCCTTCCCCTTTTCTTCTTCTTCCTCCCCCACCACCACCTCCATTGCCGGCTCCGTCACCAATTTCCGGTGCCGGTGCCGGACAAGAAATTTTTTTCCCTCTCCCCCTCTTCCTCCTCTGCCATCATCCTTTCTTGTCTTTTTTTTTTTTTTTTTTTCTCACTACGTCCAGCGCAGAGGGGGAAGAGGCAGAGGGGGCGGCGCAGAGGGGGACGGTGAGGGAGAGAGGGAAGGCGGGAGAAGGGGGAAGGGGCAGAGGGGGGTGACACAGAGGGGGGCGGCGGGGGAAAGGGGGAAGGCGGGGCAGAGGGGGAAGGGGCAGACGGGGGCGACGGAAGGGGCAGAGGGTGGCGGAGGAGGGAGGGGGAAGGTGGGGGAGGGGGGCGGCGC